GATGGCCTGATCCAAACACGTGGGAATGTTGCGAGAGTTAAGAAAAGCGCGCGAAACACGAGCCGAAGGCGAGTGATTTTGCGCGCTTTTCTTAACTCAAGCAACATTCCCAAGTGTTTGGATCAGGCTATCCAAACACGGAAACTATAAAGTAATTGTTTCATAAAATAACAACAACACGAAGTCTTCCGTGTTTGCATGGCCTGATCCAAACACGGGTTTCGACCAATCAGAGCACGCGTTATATACATGTTATTTTATAAAGCCACTTCTCTAACTGAGGACGAAGATTAAAAGGTATTCTACGGTATGTTTGGGCCACGGGTGGCACGCTGTCGTCAATGTGCAGTTTTTGTTCAAACCCTTCAAGATGTCCTACACCTTCAAATACATCTGCGTACTCTTCTAAAAAAGTCGAGACCCGCCCTGTGTCTGGCGCACTTGTGCGTGCATTTTCTCACCATTACTAGAGGGTCCTGAAGGGGGGAGGGGGTTCGTATTCCCATTTCCCAGCCCAAATTTTGACTAAATCCCATTGTCCCAGAGCACAAATCCCATCATCTCAGTGGCTGTCCTGCTCAAATTTTAATCCCATTCCCATTTTCTATTGTTTTTTTGCTGATGAATCCCAGTCCCAGTGCATGAAATCCCATTTTCCCACCCAAAAATAAGCAATTCCCCGTTCCCATTTTACCCCTTCAGGGCCCTCTTACTACATGTCGAGTTACTGGTTATAGTGGGTATCTGAACTTGGGTTGTGGTTTGTCGCGAGGCTTTTGTATCCGAATCACCCTCTTGTACTGCTTGCTGAGAAACTGAATTTAGATCAAACTTAATAAGTCTTAATTGCTGTGCTGTTGTATTACCTAGCAATTTACCATATTGAGATGCTGTAATGTAAATTGTAGCCACTGTCAAACAATGTTTTGATTCTACTAGTGTCTCCACTTTGCCTAATGGGAGAATAGGGTTATTTTCTCCAAAAGCACGAATCTTTGTGTAGGTTTTTTTAGGGATATTGGTTCTTTGCTTTGTTTTCTTAATATTTCGAAATCCTCAGAACCCAAAACGTTAACAGACGCACCACTGTCCACCATCATTTTCATCGGGACTCCATTAACACGGACCGTAGAATAGGGATGCTTACTTTGTTGTGCTTGTTGAACCGTTCAAACGGTGGCATGGGCTGTAGATTTCCCGCGCTCGCCATGAAGATCAAATACCTTCAAAAATACCGTATACGTCAGATTGTCCGCCGATTTTTTATCTCACGTTTGAATCTTCACTTCTCGCAAACACCCAAAATGAATCACTCGTTCTTTAATAGTAACAGGTAACGAACAAATTTGCCCTCGTCGCTAATGTAATATCTTTAAAATCGTTATTTATTTCAACATCCCAAAATATAACCCTACACAAATGTGCTCCTTACAATCATCCCGCACCCCCCTGATCCATACTTCATGTAACACCAACCAAGAAATTCCATCAGCTTACTTAAGTGGTAATGGACACCCATGAATTTGCTACTAGTCATAATATGAAACTTAACCCAGGGAAGTGTAAGGAGATGTTCATTAATTTTATGCATGATCTTAACATTCTTGTTAACCCAATCATCATGGGGAACAAAGAAATGAATGAATGTGTGTCAAATTATAAACTTCTGGGAGTCTACTATTTAAATGAAGACCTAAATTGGAATACCCACATAGACTAAATATTCAAAAAAGCTTATAAAAGACTCCATTCGTTGCGAATTTTGCGAAGAGCTGGCGTTGCGTCATTGAGTATCTTAAAGGTTTATCTAACTATTATTCGACCGGTCTTGGACCTATTATTCGACCGGTCTTGGACCTATTATTCGACCGTCCATGTGTGGCAATCAATACCAGGTATTCTGTCTGATAAACTTGAAACAATACAGAAAAGAGCCCTGAAAATAATTTTCCTATCTGCTGAAACATACCAAGAAGCTCTACAGTTAGCTGAGATTGACAATCTAGCCGATAAGAGAATCATCATATCACATATGTAAAAAATACATGAGTAAAATGAAAAGAACAAATCGTTCCTTATACATGCGTTATTATACTAAAAAGCACGGACAAAAACTGTAATTATGAGCTTAGAGACAAAACCGAAGAAGTTTTCCTGTACCAAGATTTTAAGTTCTGCAGAACTAAAAAAACAGAAAACTTTTTTACCTTCAAATATCATTAACATTTTAAAGCCTATTTTCATTGCAAACATAAAGTTAGATTTTATATAGATTACTTGGATAAAATTGTACTAGTTTTTTTTACATTATATCATATAGTTATTGTTATGAATTGACTTCTAATTAGTTTAATTATTCTAAACAGTTTATGATAAGATATGCATGAATAAATATATAATTAACCCAAAAAGAGTTTATAAAAAGGGATCTGTGGGGACAGAGGTACGTTTATATAATAATATACTGTAGTGATTTATAATTGTAATATATAGCAGAGTAGACTGAGTAGATAGATTAATGACTGGTAATTATTGTTTATTTTAGTTTTTACGTACTGTCCTGGATAAATATACGTTTAACATACAAGAAGACTATAGACCACGAAGAGTCTATGCGTTTGTAACATAGACCACGTAAGGTCTATGCGTTGTTGTTAGTTTGTTTTGTCGAGTTTATCGGGACGGTTCAGTAATCTCAGCCGCTCTCAAAGTCCGATCCTTTACAGTTATACTATAATATTGTAAATATATAAACTCTGTAATTCAGTCTTTGTAACTGCGAAAGAGATTCAATAAACAATAATTATTATCCAAAGAATTGCTATTCTTATTATTATTATTATTATTATATTTATATTTATCCAGGATACCCACGTCACCGAAGTGTTTTTCAGTGGGGTCCTGCATTATAAATTTCAACTTCAATATACATATACATTACAAAATAACATGCAAATGTACAATAACATGCGTTAACATACTTATACTATATATAGCCTATATTCAAAACGTAATGGAACTAAGACTATGTTTACTATTTAATTCTCGCCTACACAGCATTTTTTAATAGAGCTTTAAACTTGTATAACGAGTTGGCGTTTCTAATGTCTGGTTCTAGGTTGTTAAAGTCTTTTGATGCTTGGTAGCTTGGTCTTTGTTTTCCCTTGTTTGTGTTCGTCTTTGGGAGGTGGAGGTCGTTTTTTCTTCTTGTGTAATGGCTGTGAATGTCTTCGTTCTTCGTTAATTCAAATTTAAAGTCAATTAAATCATTTAAACATTTATAAATAAATATACATCTATGGTTATGTCTTCTAGTTTTAAGTGTTGTCCATTTTAGTCGTCGTAGGGCTTCCGTTGCAGAATAGCGTGGATGTTCATCTAGGATCAGCTTTGCAGCTTTGTTCTCTAAAGTTTGAAGGGAATCCATCAGCACCGAATTGTTCTTATCACCGAATTGTTCTTCATGCACGTTCGCACTTAATTCTTATGCTATATCCTCATTCAGTCTTCAATCACGGCTCAGGGCCAGGCATGTAACGAGAACAAATATTGACAATTCACGAATATACCCTTTACCACACTCTGATAAGTCTCCAACGAACAATGTCAGTACACACTTACGCATGCTAGTTGGCCAAGTTTCAATTTATTATCATTACAATAACAAAACTTATTACAAAGAAAAAGTAACCATGCATTACATATATAGGAATTATTACTCTGTAACATAACAATGCATGCACGCACGTATTAATTGAATGTAAACTAGTGGCGACAACCGTAAAGCTCGAGCCTCATTACAGGCCAACTGCTCCAAGATTTTGGCAACACACGCAGGTACCGAGCACGAATACGATATTTGAATGAGTGGGTAACGATGGAATTTCGATCGGTGTTTGCTTGAAAAACCTAAATTAAAAAAGTCAGATGAGGTTTCAATAATTCATTCCACTCTGGTGCAAAGCTTCCTAGAACAGCTAGGCCTATAAGGCCCGTTTCATACGCCGTACTTCACATGTGCCGAATACATTAAAGACAATAGATAATGAGCTGAAATGCCTCATTATCTATTGTTTGTAATGTATTCGGCACATGTGAAGTACGGCGTATGAAACGGGCCTAAGCGGACAATTTTTTCTAAGGCCCGTTTACACTTGCAATTTTTGCTGCGATTTTCTTCTTCTAATGCATGTGAACGAGTGGATAAGTTATGAATATCCACAGGAGGGTATACATACTCAGAACATTCCCATGTAGCCTATTTTGTAACTAATTTTATGTAATATAGTGTATTGTGTTCAATAGCAAAATCTGTAAAAAAAAAGTGTAAACGGGCCTCTATATTAATTTCTGAAACCGTGTTTTGTAAAATTTCACCATACAAGATTGATGCGCTGACTTACCTTTACATTCCCCGATTCTTTGTAAGGCGTCCATGAATTGGGTACATTGCTGTATGAAACCGAGTACGACTTTACCCATTGATTGGCGGAAGAGCATATTCCCTGAGTTGCTATTCCTGTCACTGTGCTGAGTTGTCCCAGATCAACCTGAAGCCACGAGCCGATTTGCCCTGCTCTAGTAGGTGCCCAAGAGCAGCTAGAACCTGCCTTTGTCAGTCTTGCATAGCTAGGTTTGTAATTGCTGGAATCAACAGATGACGCCGTGATTGCATCATCAGGTATTTTACCACTTGTCATTCCTAATGGTTTGGGATCTGTACATGAAGCTTAAATAAAATAGATAATTTGCCATTACACTGCAGAAATATATGGCTCTATTTCTGGTGTTTATTATTACGTTTATACGTTTTCTGTTTTCGTATGTATAAAGATCAGGCTTTTGGCTGTCAAATGACACCTTGATTGAATCATTGCGTTATATTGCGATAAAAAATGTATTGACCAATTATCATCTCAGACTGATATTATCATCTTACACATGCAAATAAAGACTTTACTAATACTTACTATTATTCAAACATAATGCTTCATATGCATCAACATATCGTCTAACCATATTTGCAATATCTCTGCAACACTGAGGAGGAAGTGTGCTTCCAGCACCGCATAATGTTTTGTTCGCTTCAATCTTCTCCTCCACTAGTGACTTTATCGAATCACAACAGATCGCTTCACCAAGAGTAGCCATCGAAAGAAAACCAACAACGAAAATCAGAAAAATCATTTTTGCCATTTTCATTTCGTTGTTGTAACACGTTTGAAAGTCGGTACAACGCTGCACAAAATTGACTTGCGTTTTCCTTTAAAACGTTAAGCCATCCATGTCACGTGGACAAGTCTTAACCAATTAAATTTCATCGTGATATAGGGCGAAAATCGTGGGCGTCACTTCATATGTCAAGCAGAACTTTTTTGTTCTTTTGCCGACATCAATTCTACTCATTAAGCACTAATTAGATGAGACGCAAAGATGCGTGAATATTGACAAGGTGCACAGTCCGTATGTCAACAAAGCCTTTGTTTACGTTTCGATATTCAAAATATTGAACTTTATTCGACAACTATTTATATTTTCATGCTTCTACATGCAGTATAATAAATGATCAAGATACAACAATCAGGTTTTGCAAGAACATAAAATGAAATAAAAACCGAATCATAAAGTGTTATATCACGGCAGGAGACTCCTATGTGCGCATGCGCAGACCGGACTGAACCCTATCTTTAATTAAGAAATTAAAATATCTTTGTAAAGCGCACGATGGTCTGCTTTTGGGAATTTAAAGCAGCAACAGGTCATGCTATGCTGACATTTTTAATTGGGAATTGTTTAATTAAACTTCATGGTGTGATGCATGCCTTCCATTATATGACATTCAGTGAACAGTGTTGAGTGCCATTTTCAGCATTTTGGGGGCTAGTTTACAAGTGCGTTGATTATGACAGTGCAGCATGACGTGCTATACTACAGTATTACCCAACTCACTATACACAGGGACGTCGCGAAGCCATCAACGTTGGGGGGGCGGGTTTTGATCAAAATTTTTCGACCAATATAAGCAATGCTTCCGATTTTTTCACCGCAAACGTAACTGAAGCTTTAAAATTGTTAAAAGTGCGAACCATTTCGTAACTTTTAACAACTTCGACCATCTTATATCCCAAACTTTCACCAAATTTTTCCGAGTTTTACCTTCAATTTTAAGCAAATAACAGTTCTATTTTGACCAACTTTGGGCACATATCAGTTCCATTTTGACCAAGTTTGACCAACGTTTGAATTATTGGGGGGTGTTACACCCCCTATAGCGACGTCCCTGACTATACAGGATGTCCCCCCAAACCCCAAAACTATTGAAATAACGTATTGTTAGAATTTGAATGTCCTAGCCCTAAGCTGAACGCAAAGATGTGTAAATATATATTGACAGGGTTTGAAATATCTTTCTAAAGCGTACGATTTTCTGCTCTTAGGAATTTAAAGCAGCTTCTTGTAGACCGGTTGCTGCATCCCGTTATCGTTCATTTTCATTGAGCATGTCTTGGAACTGAAATATTTTTATGGGAACAAATACTTTCGAACACGCTCAGTTCAAATCCGAAAACTTCCCGCACCGTAGACTTGCAGTTTTCTCACGAACTGCTATTTTACCTTCTCTAATTTCACAACAATTTTTTTCATTGTTCAACGACACGGATCGATGACGACACACGATTATATCACTCAAGACGACCAATTTCTATTAACCAGTTTCTATTTTAACAAAAGACCGTTTTGCTCGAATCATTTTGAGTTATGTACAGGCTTATGCGTGTTAGAATAGACCTATAAACAACATATCTTGTCTACAACTTTGAGAAGGTACAGATAACGCCTTCTAAAATCCTCAGTTCTAGCGATATCTCTGTAAAATCACAAGGAAGTTAATGCTAATTGCTAAATCTTTTGGCTATTTCATGCACTGGTCTGAAAAATAACTATTTTAACGCGATCAAGGATTCAAGGGATTTAAAACAAAAGTAATGCGAAGCCAACGTAACGGCAAAGACAACGCTGAAATAAAATATTGTCGATTGGTTGCTGGTAGAAGACTAATTACGACAGGATCAATCTTAAATAACCTTAAACTAGGAGAATAAATGTTCACATCAAAGACAAAGATCAGTCCCAAAGTATAAAATCTGCTCTGTAAACTTACGGCGAAGTGGAGAAATGTGTGCATAAGCTGTTTATTTGGTGATTTCAACGTATATGGCAGCCCTCTTTAAGTATTGCAAAAACAAAAGGGTGCAAATTAAGAATCGCAAAACCAAAAGGGTGCAAATTTACATAATTTAATTCGTGTGTCTTTGAGTAATACAAGCCAACCCAAAAAAACTAACCAACCCAAAGAATTTGGTCTGAAGACCAAAGTCGGATGTGAATTTGTACGGGGTATTGTTCTTTCAAATGTTATGTCGCTTGCGCCGAAAATTGACGAAATAAGACCATTGGTCCTCAATGCTGCCGTGGACATTGCTGCATTCACCGAAACGTGGTTAAAACTTAAAAGACTCAATCTTAAACACAGTGGTTGATATCCCTGGGTTCAAAATAATTAGGAAGGACCGCAAACACACTATTCAGTTTGTATCTACGTTAACAATCAGATAAAAACTGGTATTTTGTACGAGATAACATGCAATTTGAAGTCTTGTGGATCAAGCTATCACCTAAACGTCTACCTCGTGGGATATCAAGCATTATCATAGGAACAATTTATCACCCGCCAGCGTCTGATGATCAATCAATGATCGAATATCTAACTAACTGCTTGACTAGCATTGAAGCAACGAACTCAAACAGTGGAATAATCCTAACGGGAGACTTGAACAGATTAGACACCTCTCGCATTAGTCGGCAATTTAATCTTAAACAGCTGGTAAACTCGCAACCAGAGGGGAAAGAACATTAGATGTCATCTTAACAAATCTCTCCAAGTTCTACGGAAACCCACAAAAACTCGCACCTTTTGGTCTTTCTGATCATTGTACAATAAAAGTGCTTCCTAAAACCAAATCCACAACAGAAAACATGTTTAAAGTCATAAAGATCACGGGACCTAAGGCAAAGTAACAAAAAAGCGGTAGGCAGAACTCTTTCTGCTGTGGATTGGTCATGTCTAGATAATGTTGTCACTTGCGAGGAAAAGGTGTCAATCTTTAACGATATAGTCGTGAACACGATTAATACTATAATGCCTATTACGGCAAAAAAGATCCATATAAATGACGCACCTTGGATGATCACTAAGCTCAGGGGCCTTATTAAAAAAAAACGGCAAAAGGCATTAAACAATGGAAATCAAACCGTTTTTAAATATTACCATAATAAGGTAAAATTGGAACGGAAAAAATGTAGACAAACGTATTCCCACGAGAAAATCAAAAGCCTTAGGCTACATACACTAAGCCTAAAGATTGGTGGCGAGCAGTTAAGAAAATTAGTGCAATGGACCCAACTTTAAAGCCTGATATTTTATCATGTTTACAGGTCGAAGAAATTTCAACAATTGGATAAGTTTGAGATTGCCAATCAAATTAATGATTCATTCCTTGAACCATTACAACGTTTCCAAGCATTGAACTCTTCTAATTATGTCAATGCCTCGGACGATTCGAATATCAGCAACCCAAATATGCTGACTGTTTCAGAGTATGAAGTTTACAGATGCTTAAAATCACTTGATTCTTCTAAATCCACTGGCCCGACGATGTCACTTCATGGGTACTTAAAGAAAATGCAGAAGTACTTGCGCTCCCAGTCTGTAAAATTTTGAACAGCTCATACGAAGAACAGCGCCTAACCTCATCATGGAAAATGTCTAATGTTGTCCCAATTCCCAAGACACACCGATACAATCTGTTAACAAACACCTCCGCCCAATATCATTAACCCCAATCCTTTCAAAAGGTGCCGAAGAGTTTGTAATTAGGATCCACTTAAAGCCTGCAGTTCTTGAAGTTCTGGACGAGAATCAATTTGGTGTCATTTCTGACTCGTCGACCAGTCATACCCTGATCAAAATGCTACATAGATGGACAGAGGCAACGGATGGAAACGGATCAACAGTTCGGGTCATCTATATTTGACTATAAAAAAGCATTTCATTATATCGATCACACCATTTTAGTATCAAAACTGAAACTTCTACGTATACCCGCCACCACTCTTAATTGGATAATAGATTTTCTCAAGGACAGACAACGAGTTAAAATGGCAAATGATTGTTTCTCCGAATGGGGCAGTGTGCCGGCCGGAGTACCACAGGGCACCAAACTCGGCCCATGGTTATTTGCCATAATGATCAATGACCTTAGACACCACAAGTAGATCAAGCCAAGTTTGTGGACGATTTAACCATCTCAGAAATAGTACACAAAAATAACCCAAGCAGAATACAAGAATCCGTTACTAGTATTCAATCGTGGTCTGATACTAATCTTCGCTCCTTAAGTGACGAAAAATGTAAAGAGATCAGAATTGACTTCAAGAGAATCAAAAGCGAATTTCCCCCAGTACTTGTAAATGGCAAGCCATTAGAAGTTGTACGGAAGGTAAAATTACTTGGTCTTACTATTCAATCTGACCTTAAATGGAATACCCATATCGATAATATCATATCGAAATGCTCTAAGCGTTTATACCTCTTGGTTCAGCTAAAACGTGCAAACGTCCCAGCCAGAGATATTATACAGTTTTATACGACATGTGTTCCACCGGTCCTTGAATATGCTTCAAATGTGTTCAATTATTCCTTGCCAACGTATCTTAATGACGATATCGAACGAATTCAGAAGCGTGCACTCTCAATTGCGCACCCAGGATTTAAATACGAAGACTCCCTTGTTATGAGCGGACTATCAACACAAGAAAATACCTTCTTATAATCTAAGGAATGAAAGGACGTTTGATGTTCCGAAATTTAAAACCGAACGATTTAAAAACCCCTTAATAGCTAGTAGTCTTACAGTAAATGATTAGTTACCCCCATTTGATGTTAGATTTCCTAATCTTAATCCAGTATATATATTTATACCTTTATTTACACTTGTATAAATTTTATATGGTTAATCCCTGTTGTGACGTCACCAAAACTACAGTTAATGAGATCAAAAATTTATCCAAGATGCGTATGGCGGACATCTCATTTCTTCAAGTGAAAATATTTCAAGAACTAAGCGAGATATGAAAAATCGGTAAAAGAAGTTAATATATAATTTCAATTATATATTATAAATTGCCTTAAAAATATTTTCGTTGTTTATTGGTCATTTTTGTTTTGTTATGGTTATTTTTCTTTTGCTATGGTGTATGCTAAAACAATTATATTCACTTCAATGTCGGTGAATAGTGCAAGAATATTGACCTCAACGCTTCGCATTTCGGTGAATATCATTGGCATTGCATTATTCAACTCCACTTCGGTGAATAATTGTTAAATATCCGTAGAAATAACAATCTCGTACACAGAGTATGTATGTATGTATGTAAACTTTTATTTAAAAGCAAAAAGGAAAAAAGAAACGACGCTAGCCTCATCAGCTACAAGCTGGTTTCCATGAGAGGCGTCGGAACACACTTGAATAAATAAAGTAATTTACAAGAATATTCACAAGATATTTACATGATTACGAAGAAATAAGTAAGTTATGTATCAAGACTATTAATATTCATTTTAAAGGTATATTCAGATTGAGCTAGTTTTGCTTGCAAAGGGAGGCTATTCCAAAGTTTCGCCCCGCTAAATTTAAAGCTATTTTTGAGGAATTCTCTTTTGGGATGTGGGAGAACCAAATCAGTACTCGAATTTCTAAGACTATAATTAACTTCCAGAGCACTAATCCTAGTGAACGATTCTTTCAAACTCGATGCACCTTGATTATTTAAAATTCTATACATTAAGATTGCTTTATTCCTTTTACGTCTCACTTCTAGTACTTCCCAACCAAGAGTTTCAAGAACGTCAGTCGATGGAATTTCATAACTAGCACCGGCAATTATTCTAGCCGCGCGATTTTGAAATTTTTGAATTTTTTCCTTTAAATAAGCACAACAATTATCCCATAAGGGAGAACTGTAATCAAAATATGGCTGTATAAGGGCGTTATAAATCAATCTCATAGTTTCAATAGGGACAAACGGCTTGATTCGTTTCATAACTGCTATTCCAGCGCTGTTTCGCTTTGTTTTTATTGAGAGTATGCCCGTTCGCAGTTAGGTAACCAGCGAATGGGTATACTCTGGGTACGAGATTGTAGAAATAATAGCCATGACAATATATCGAATATTTTGTCCCATATTTAATTTAATATGGCATTTGTTCGTCCGATCGTTCGCATTTTGCTGTTTCGCTTTGTTTTTATTGATATACTTTAACGCTTCTAGACTGTCCAGTACAGTCCATCTACGAACTTTGTTCGAAGGAAATATGTCCCGCCATATTGGCCGTCGTATAAATATCTCGTTTTATTTCATTTAGACAAGCAGCTTTTCGCTTTTTTTCTTTTTTTTTTCGCTCAACTCTCTACTTTATATTTGTACAAATTGCCTAACTTATATAGCTGAGCCTTTTGACTCGCAAGTAATCGCAAGTTGCGAGTAGCAAGGCGTAAAAAAAATACCTGTGGTTCCGGTTCCCGACTGACCCTATTTTTTTCTGCTGACCCTATTATTTTTTCAACGCGATTGACCGTGCGACCCTATTTTCTCCAGGTGGTTGCGGGCTGCTCATACAGCGTGCCAAAATGGCGTCCGTTGTCACACTAATTATTGAACCAAATTGCCTAAATTCGTCCATAGGAAATACGCCTCTGTAGTTAATATTGATGCCGGGACTCTACTGCAAATCGCCCAGCAAAAAGCCGCCAAAACCATGAAAAAAATATTCAAAAAAAATTTATTTCCGACCTACCGACCCTAATTTTTTCACGATATGAAACCGGAACCACAGGTATTTTTACGCCCAAGTGCTAGCGAGTGCATGAGTCAGAACGAGTATTCTCGTGGACTCGCGACAGGTACTGTACAACATACAACATACAACATAATACAACATACAACATACAACATACAACATACAACACAACACAACATAGCACATCACAACACAACACAGCACAACACAGCATAGAAGAACATACCATATAAAACACAACTTAAACTTACTCTTGTTGGATTTAAAGACAAAAAATTCACCGCCCAAAAGATAGGATTCACTCCACCCAAAGTCATATAGAAAGACGGAATAAATATAGCCATGACTGACAATAAACATACAGCATAGAACGATAACGAACCAATCCAGAACTCCACTGGCTCACTGAAATAAAACAGAAGTAAAGTCGTAGACAGCAAAAACGTTCACACTAGGTTTTAGACCTCGTTAATTCAATACACTAGAGCAAAAGATCCCGGCAGGTTTAGCTTGTATTTTCTCAAAAACAACATAACCATTATGACAGAAAATTGAAAATATAAGCTTGTTCAACTTCAAAACTTTGCTACAGAAAAATTGGAAGCCAGATAAGTGTTGTGAGGATCACATCTAGCCTAAAGTATATTTGTCTGTGTTTTTATACGCAAAACAATGTCAGTTGACTTTCGCTTCAAAGGTTTCAAATCAGCGACTTGCGCTAGGTCGCGAGAATGCCACTTGCGAGACGCGACATTCAGACCAGAGAAAGAAATGTCCCCTAAGAGCAGACCTTTCCTAACTCGGGTGTGAATGTTGCAAGCAAACTGAATTTCCCAAATTGTCGGCTAACTAAATTCTTCTCACTAACACCCCGATAGTACGTGATCACACGACCGTTCTGAACCCTTTTGACCATCCCAATTCTTGAGCAAGGTCAGCCAGAACAGAACACAGGAAGTGACGGAATTTTAGTGACGGTTGTTTTCGTATATTCAAAATTGCATTGCTAGTTGCAGAAAAATGTTTCAAATGTTCCTCAAAAGTGCGTAACTATATTAAAAATAATGGGAAATTTGACCCTACAGTATATAACACAAATTCGAACATTGTCTCCCACTATGGACTTCCCCAAGGCAAATCTTCCTCAGGATCCACTTCTTTCAATGTCTGATTAAAACTGTATATAAAGTAGATTTCAACGTATTTTCAATATAAAACATACCTCACAATACTAAGATAATAAAACACTGGTACAAGCAGCAAGCCAGTTATCAAAGTTCCAATAACAAATGTCTAAAAGTTGAAAATAACAACTTAAAAGCAGTCTTTCCATGATGCTTAGATAAAGGACATTAAAAAATAATACCTCAGCGCTTTAGCACACGTGCTATACCCTCTACAGTTTAACCTCGAAAAGGGTGCATTAAGAAACTCCACACATATATACTCACCTGAAGTACAAACGTTATTTCAGTTCTTGTAAAAGGCAGTTCATCAACATTGGTGGCAGCGGTAAAGTACGGCGAAGGAAATATAAAACGAAGCTGTAACGTACAACAGAAAATGTGTTATTTTTTCGCTTCTTAAAGTGATATGTTATTTTCTCGCTTCTTCTTAGACTGTCTGTTAGTACGGGAGTTTCACACCATCGTTGGTAGGTACTGTAGGTGGTTAGGTGTAACAATGTATAAAATTTATGGTCCAATTTACCCTACTATAAATACTGACAGCATAATCAGCATACAAGATGGTCAACGTCTGACAAACAACCATTAGTTCCCCAAGTGTAAAGGAGTATGGCAGAGATATCACAACGAGTAAAAATATGGTCAGATATAACAGCAGACATGCGACAAGAAAAACTTCATTCGTATCTAAAGAGCAAAGGAAAGATTAATTAAAACTGTAGCTGTGGCCAAAAGAGTTTTTACGGCCTAGTCCCTGGGCCTCTTAGCGCACCTCAGTACGTGTTCTCATTAATAGAGAGGTATAGCAAAGATGACGCAACGTCAAAGACTTCTCTGGCCAGTTGACATGCTTCCCTGCTCACAAAGGGCTGGGTGTGTGTGTGGGGGGATTTTTCCAGGGAAATTCTAGCTTACGGTTTGCCCTGTGACTCGACGAAATGACAGCCATTATTCACAGGGTTTTAAATATTTCACTCAGTGAACTCAGTGACGTCACGGGAAAATAAAAGGCGTGCACAAAGGACGAGAGACCAGCCAGAAGATGTTTTTGCACAGTTTCCTGCGCAAAAATTCTTTCAATAGACCAATCCCCAATTAACCAAAATTTTGAACTCAACAATTAATCTAGACAAAAATTTCATCACAGCTTGAAAGAGCATCACAAAATTAGTAATATTCCAAACTTTCGTTGCAAAATGTTGTAAAATATGCGGATAATATAGCATTGCGAAGTTGGCAATTTTCAGTCGTTTTAGATTACAAACGGGAAATGGTTACCACTTCTGTGCGCAATACAAAATGACTGAAACTTCGCAAGGCTATATTATCCGCATTTTACAACATTTTGCAACGAAACTTTGGAATATTACTATTTTGTGATGCTCTTTCAAGCTGTGATGAAATTTTTGTTTAGGCTAGTTAAGATCAAAATTTTGGAAAAGTGGTAACCATTTCCCGCTCGTAATACAAAATGACTGAAAATTGCAAATTTCGCAAAGCTATATTATCCGCATTCTACAACATTTCGCAACAAAACTTTGGAATATTACTAATTTTGTGATGCCCTTTCAAGCTGAAAATTTGGGTCTCTGAAATAGCATTTCCTGCATTCTGAGAACACTTTTTCAGCTTTTCAAAACAAAGCTTTAATGGTGAAATTTGTAATAAATTGCATGCTATAATCATTAAAACGCAACACAAGTTTAAATATGCTCACCAACAAATTTTGTTTTTTAAACTTCTTTTCAATGTTAAACTCATTTGCTCAATACAGGTCCCAAGCTAGGGCCCTGGCTTAGGGCAACAGGCCATTTTTTTCTTCAGTGGTGGGGCAGAGGAAGGGGCCCAGTGGGGCAAATGCCCCACCAGTCCATGGTATTAAAAAATGCCTTGGCTGGTATTCCTTTACTCTTTTTAATTTTGATCAATGAAATCACGTGGTGTCAATTTTACCTTTTGTCCGATCAAAGCTTTTTATGACTGGATCCAGTCTCAGAAAATTTGTTTATTTAACACATTTTTTAATAATGAAACCAACAACAAAGCAATATAGACAGCACTTCTCCACAGACTATTTCTTGCTGCATTAAACCGTCAGAATAAGATTTAATTATGAATCCTCATCACCTTTGTATACATGATAGAAACTAAACTTATGTGTAACCTGAACCATAATTTACTGATGCATTAGGACTGGTAGATATATACTAAGTTTTAGATGCATTGCAGTGCGGACTAAGTTGCAACTATGACCAGGCAAAACCCCTCCTCCCCCCCCCTTTTGATACTATATATATATATTAAAATATTGACATTTTTATCAATTACCTCCTTTCCATTTAAGCTGTGCAGTTGTAGCAATTGCAAAACAAATCAACGGAATTATTGCCAATGTTGTGATATTTCTTGATCCTTTTAACACTAGTAACACCAGTACTGTACATAACCCCATTAGAACCACTGCATTGTAATACATCTGCCACTGATCTTTAAAATAATTTTAATAACAATGCTAAAACATGTGTTAGACCACATACACTTTGTGTCTAGTCACTTTAGGTTGTTTATACTTAGAATGACTAGAATGACTCCATCCTCTACAGACAAATTTGTTTCATTTCTGCAGCAAATTTAGTATAAAGCCTTGACATGACATTATTGTTCTTGATAAAATAATATCAGGAAACAACTTGCAGAGAGTCTAGTTTTGTCAAAATTAGATTATAACGATGTTGTGTGTAATCCAGTTCCTGATTACTTACTAAAACGTTTACAACGAATGCAGTTGGCTGTTGCAGGTTTTGTATTGCGGAAATATGCCAGTATGAGTGACATCCTCTCTCTTGGTTGGCTTCCTGTTGTGGAACGTAGGGACTATCATTTAGCCAAACTAGTCTTTAAAGCCATTCATTCCAGCGACTGGCCCTCGTACCTAAAGCCCGGTTTCCATTAAATCGTAATCATCGCAATAGTCGTAGAACGCAGACATCGCTATCGCATCAAGTTTCCAATAAATCGCAGTTTTTATTAAAATTTTCGCGTTTTTAAAATCGTTGCGACGCTTGCGATGCGGTTCTTGCGATAATTACGATTTAATGGAAACCAGGCTTTCAAGACCTCTGCGTTCATCGTCTTCCCGTCACTTGGTCGTTCCACGTGTCTCTGGCACCTTTCAAGGCGAGGCTGCTCGGATGTTCAACGATCTTCCCGAAAACATTCGGAACAGTACTAACTTTAGAGAGTGTTGCCGAAATTGTTTCGCTCATTTCAAAGACTTCGCAATGAACAAAATTAGCGACATTTAGTATGCAATACAATGTGTTTATATTGTTACGCAATGTGTCCATTGTTTCGTTTCGTTTTTGTCGTTTGATTATCTCTTGTAAAGTATAGGTCTCTAATATTATGAGTGCAATGGTAAGAATATTTTCATGAGGTGAAAGATGGAACATTCCATTCAACGAGGCGACAGCCGAGTTGAATGGAACATTCCATCTTTCACCGAATGAAAATATTCTTACCATTGCACGAAAAAGCATTCATTATTTGTTTTATATAATACCAAAATAGACTAATAGATTCGTATGAGAAGCATTTTGACGGATGCGATTGAGTGCAACACAAAGAGTGCAATTGTACTATACGTTTTATTCCATTGCACTCTTGGGAAATGGAATTTTCTATTCAATATCACGTGACCATAAACAGCCAATTAAACGATCAGAATTCAATAAGGTATTATATAAACTATAATATTGTAGTAATTTAATGTTGTCATAATGTATGCATGTAACCTTTTGTAGCATAGAATAGCCATAATGTGGAAACGCTATTAAACCATTATTATTTATTATTTATTATTTTGATAACTACAACAAAATTACTATCATAGAGGTTCAGATTTGACTTGCACTACCACATCCGCTACCACTACTGTACCTCTCAATGGCTTAGTCTGCATCTAATTGGTTAATCAGATATATGATTGGTTAATAGTACCTTAATGGTAGAACTATCAGAAGTCAAATCTGAACCTCATTTGACAAACTACATAATTGAGCCACCCTTAATGGTCAATTATATTTAATTACTGCAGGGCAATTACCTTGCAAGATGAATGGATTTTGTTTACCAAATACAATTTGAGTCAACAACACCAAAGGTACCATAAAACAACCAAGTACTAAACCACTATGTGCACCTGGCCTAACAAAAGATATAGTGTAGTTACATTAATCAAAAGCTTGTTCTGTCTAAATTATATTTAACCCTATAATTACTGTAAGTGACTTTATTATTTTACTCTGTCTAACGCCAGACTTTTACTCGTTAGGGGGAGAGTGCTGCCACTCAATGGCGTTAATTACAGCAGTTTTACGTGATAGACAATGTACTACCTTACACAAAAAGGTTGATAGCAATTATGATTTCATTGTTTTTGACATCCAGGCAAGGTCACTAATTCAATATCAGAAATGTCAACAACTGAACAAAGCCTGCCAAATGATAAAATTCTTCAAGTTGGGATCAAATTTGTTGGTTTGTTGATGCTTATGATGCTGAATTAGTGACTGTGCCTAAATGCCAACAAACTAGGTAAGCTAGGTTAGGTCAAAAAAGGTTAAATTGCTATTTAACCTTTTTGTGTGATGTATGTGGCATGTATCATGTAAAACTGCTGTAAACATGAGGAATTGCTGGACAGAGAAATATTATCCGGTGTTGGACATTGTAAAACAACATGCATGGCCAGATTTTGAAGAAAGGTGCGAGGATCATTTTGCACCTCATCTGAAAATTCATGCACGGCCTTCCATTGATGTATCAAAATAAAAATTTTATTAACAGTTAGTTTTTCATATCTCTGAGGATTCTCAAATAAAATTAACATTTAACACAAATTATTGTTATTCAATGGTATTTATGCATAACCATTGCTTCTTATCACAGGATAATCTATAGGTCTTTAAATGTTTTGTGATCATAAAGTTCTTCAATCTATAAAATTGAAATAATTCATCTCTGTGTCAATCGATCAATTTCCCAGTAGCTTTCAGTAGTGTTAATTCATCATTCAATACAATATTCATACTACAGGTATATTATAAATTACATGGCTGCATAAAGTTAAAGGTTTGACTTTCGAGGGACATGTTGTAAACTATAACCCAGACTGCTGCACTTTCCCTAAAATTTTTCAACCCTCCCCAGACCCCAGCATGTACACAACATCTGGCACAATAAAATAATAGCAAGAAGTGCAACAAGTCTTTTCTCAAATGTCCAGCAGTATTCTTTTTAACATGCAAGTAAGGTAGAATCATCTGAAGTTACAAAAAGTAAAATAATCTGTTATTAATTCACACATTAATTCACCAATAAAATTGTCTGGTGCTAATTAGAGAGTAAAATAATAAAGTGGGCTGCATTGAGACCTTGCCGCTAAATGGGTTAAGTAAATAATGCAATGAGTTGGATTGCACCCTATTATATTATTTTACTCTGTCTATTGCCAGATGATTTTACTGGTCAAGGGGAGAGCACTGGTTGACTGGCACGTCTCCTGACTGGAAAGTTTGGAAATTGCGCGGCTAAGATTTAGAAAATCTAAAAGTAAATATGTAGAAAACATCAACATTGCGCGCCCGAAATCTCGGTTGCGCGATACAAACTTTCCACATTGGCTGGCATTTAGGGGCCGATTACATGGACGATTTCAACCCCGGGGTTGAAATGCTATACTATACGTTCTCGGCATCGATTCCCAGGAGTAAAAAAGCCTTTATTTTATTTTCTCGTAATAAATAGTCACTACCATGTATGCTCGAATAACTCATGATAATTTCAGCCCTGGGTTGAAAATTTTGTCATGTAATCGCGCGTTTGATTTTGGTAGAGTTTTGTATTACAGACAGGGCTGAAATTTCAACCCGGTAAACAGGGCTGAGTTCAACCCCAGGGTTGAAAATGCTTCATGTAATCGGCCCCTTAGTGGGTTTAAATTAGCCAAATATGAGTCAGTTATTAACACAGGACCTCATTCAGACGGGCCAGCTAGCTTGATTCCATATAAATGCAAGATGACATTTTTAATGGGAAATTTAACAAATACAGGATCTCGCCAAAACCGAGCCAGCCCAAGTACAGAGTAATTACGGATCATAGTCCAATGCATACCGAAGATCACTCTCGGCTTTTTACTTATTGATACATTTTTTTCGATACCGATTAGCATACCTAAAACAAAACAAATTTGACGCATCTTTATAAACATCTTCAAGATTCACCATTGGCGCGCATTCTGCAACCAGTACTAAAATTAGAAACATGTTAATTATTAATTACTGCTGGAACTAAAAATTCTGTAAACAAACAAGAAAATGACGAAATTTACAGCAAAATTTCAGTAAATTATCCCGAAAAACACTTACTCAAAAAGTGGAATACAAACACCCCAGAATAT